GGTGGCTGCAGCCAGATGGGCCTCTTCCCATTCCATCCCCTGTGGACATGGCCAGGGAAGGAGAGGGGGGAAGAGGGCCCAGGGCTGATCCCCCGGCAGGTCCATGCACTAGGCATCCCGGGGCTGGCCCTGCCTGTGGAGCACAGGGCTGGGCTGTGTTCTCTGGCCTCTCCTGCAGCCCCTCAGCTCTGACCATGCTCACCTTTGCCAGATCCAGGACGGGACCGGACGCAAGAGCAGGACCGTGCCCGTGGCTGCTTTCGCAGGGCAGCACAGGTACCTGCAACCATCACCTCCTGGTCTGGGCCAGCTGTCCCTGCTCAGCCCAGCACTGCTGTCAGAGCTCTCCAGGGCACATCCCTCTATTCCCTGCCCTTCGTTCTCTTGCAGGCTTGTCTGACATCCCTAGCCATTCGGCGTAGAAAGACCAGGATCATGCCAGCTGAGGTCATAGCACAGCCTGACCCCACGCCGAGTGAGCTCAAGCCAGACCCTGATGTCGGCACCATGTCAGCTGATGGCACAGGAAACTCTGGCAGCGCGGTGACCGATGATGTGACCAACTCCAACACGGCGCTGCCTGAGCTCACCGCAGAGGCTGACGGTGCAACAACTGAGGGCATCGCAGACAGTGAGAGTACACCCGTTCAGTGCCTGTCCGATGTTCCCAGTTGGGACGTTCTTGGGGATGAAGTTGTCTCTGCTCAAGTAAGCAACCTGTGGGCAGGGACTGTGTGGCCCCTCATCCTGGGTCTGCTGGGCCCCCTCATCCTTTGAGGCCTGCATGGTGTGGGAAGGGAAGCACTTCTCTGTGGACAGTGGGCAAGTTGCTCCTTCTGGCTGCCCTCCACGTGCATCCTCCAGGCCAGAGAATGGGACTTGGGAACTCTCCAGCCCATCAAGTTCCATGGTCTGGCCTCGAGGGCAACTGCCACAGGGACTGAGATGCCTTGGAAAAGCTCCAGTTCACGAAGTCTTCTGTTGCAGGAGCCTTCAAGGCACTTCTGCAGGACTTGGTGACCCAGAGCTTTTCCATGCAATCTCTCCTGCAGGAAGCCATGGAGCCACACAGAGGCATGGAGCAGAGACCTCCCAGCGTGCCCAAGCAGGCCTGGGTGAAGGAGGAGGAGGAGGAAAGCCCTGGGCCTGCCCCAGCACAGCAGACTGAAGAGGTGGAGCAGTCCCAGCCCCTGCAGGAAGGTGAGTGGCACAGCTGGGCCACAGGGCTGGTGATTGCAGCCAGATGGACCTCTTCCCATCCCATTCCATGTGGACATGGGCAGGAAAAGGGTAGAGGTAGGAGGGCCCGGGGCTGATCCCCGTCAGTTCCATGCACTGAGCATCCCAGGGCTGACCCTGCCTGTGGAGCACAGGGCTGGGCTGTGTTCTCTGGCCTCTCCTGCAGCCTCTCAGCTCTGACCGCACTCACTCTTTGCCAGATCCAGGACGGGACGGGACACAAGAGAAGGACCGTGCCCGTGGCTGCTTCCGCAGGGCAGCACAGGTACCTGCAGCCATCACCTCCTGGGCTGGGCCTGCTGTCACTGCTCAGCCCGGCACTGCTGTTGGAGTTTTCCAGGGCACATCCCTCTCTTCCCTGCTCTCCATTCTCCTGCAGGCCTTTCTGATGTTCTTGGGTATTCGGCGTAGAAAGACCAGGACCTCAAAAACTGAGGTCATGGCACAGCCTGACCCCACGCCGAATGATCTCAAACCAGACCCTGATGTTGGCACTGTGTCAGCTGACGGCACAGGAAATTGTGACAGCACGGTGACCAATGATGGGAGAAACTCCGATTTGGCGTTGCCTGAGCTCATCGGAGAGGCTGACGGTGCAACAACTGAGGGTGTCGCAGACACTGAGAGCACACCCGTTCAGTGCCTGTCCGATGCTTCCAGCTGGGACATTCTCGGGGATGAAGCTGTCTCTGCTCAAGTAAGCAGCCTGTGGGCAGGGACTGTGTGGCCCCTCAAGCTGGGTCTGCTGGGCCCCCTCATCCTTTGAGGCCTGCATGGTGTGGTGGGAAGGGAAGCACTTCTCTGTGGACAGTGGGCAAATTGCTCCCTCTGGCCACTCTCCCACGTGCCCCCTCCAGGCCAGAGAATAGGACTTGTGAACTGGACTTTTCTAAGGCATCTCAGTTCCTGTGGCAGTTGCCCTCGAGGCCAGACCATGGGAATTGATGGGCCGGAGAGTTCCCAAGTCTTCTGTTGCAGGAGCCTTCAGGGCACTTCTGCAGGATTTGGTGACCCAGAGCTGTTCTGTGCCATCTCTCCTGCAGGAAGCCATGGAATCAGAGAGAGGCACAGAGCAGAGACTTCCCAGCATTCCCCAGGTGTCCTGGGTGAAGGAGAAGGAGGAGGAAGGCGGCCCTGGAGTTGCCCCAGCACAGCAGCCTGCAGAGGTGGAGCAGTCTCAGCCCCTGCAGGAAGGTGAGTGGCACAGCTGGGCCACAGGGCTGGTGGCTGGTGGCTGCTGTCAGCTTGGCCTCATCCCATCCCACCCCCTGTGGACATGGGCAGAATAAGGAAGGGGGAAGAGGGCCCAGGTTGATCCTCCAGCAGATCCATGCACTGGGCATCCCAGGGCAGACCCTGCCTGTGGAGCACAGGGCTGGGCTGTGTTCTCTGGCCTCTCCTGCAGCCCCTCAGCTCTGACCACTCTCGTTCTTTACCAGATCCAGGCTGGGACAGCGGTGCAGACACCGACAGCAGGCCCGCTCAGAGCGTGAATGATGCTCCTCCTCGGGATGTTTCTGAGGAGAACAGTGTCTCTGACCCAAAGCAAGTAAGCATCCTGTGGCCAGGGCTCAATGCCCTGGGGATGGTTGTTCCCTCTAGCCAGTTCTCCTGGGCCCTCTCAGCCTCTGAGGCCAGCACAGTGTGGTGGGAAAGGAAGCACTTCTCGGTGGACAGTGGGCAAATTGCTCCCTCTGGCCACTCTCCCACGTGCCCCCTCCAGACCAGAGAATGGGACTTGTGAACTGGAGCTTTTCCAAGGCATCTCAGTCCCTATGGTAGGTGCCCTTGAGGCCAGACTATGAGACTTGATGGGTCGGAGAGTTCCCAAGTCTTCTGTTGCAGGAGCCTTCAAGACACTTCTGCAGGACTTGGTGACCCAGAACTGTTCTGTGCCATCTCTTCTGCAGGAAGCCATGGAGTCAGAGAGCGGCACAGAGCAGAGAGCCTCCAGTGTGCCCCACGTGTCCTGGGTGGAGGAGGAGGAGGAGGAAGAAGACCCTGGAGTTACCCCAGCAAAGCAGCCTGCAGAGGTGGAGCAGTCCCAACCCCTGCAGGAGGGTGAGTGGCACAGCTGGGCCACAGGGCTGGTGGCTGCAGCCAGATGGGCCACTTCCCATCCCATTCCGAGTGGACATGGCCAGGGAAAGGGAGGGGGAAGAGGGCCAAGGGCTGATCCCCCAGCAGTTCCATGCACTGGGCATCCCAGGGCTGACCCTGCCTGTGGAGCACAGGGTTGGGCTGTGTTCTCTGGCCTCTCCTGCTGCCCTTCAGCTCTGACAACTCTCGCTCTTTGCCAGATCCAGGCCAGGACAGCGGTGCAGACACCGACAGCAGGCCCGCTCAGAGCGTGAATGATGCTCCTCCTCGGGATGTTTCTGAGGAGAACGGTGTTTCTGATCCAAAGCAAGTAAGCATCCTGTGGCCAGGGCTCAAGCCCCCAAGGATGGTGTGGCCCCTCTAGCCAGCTCTCCTGGACCCTCTCAGCCTTTGAGGCCAGCACAGTGTGGTGGGAAGGGAAGCACTTCTCGGTGGACAGTGGGCAAACTGCTCCCTCTGGCCACTCTCCCATGTGCCCCCTCCAGGCCAGAGAATGGGACTTGTGAACTGGAGCTTTTCCAAGGCATCTCAGTTCCTGTGGCAGTTGCCCTTGAGGCCAGACCATGGAACTTGATGGGCCGGAGAGTTCCCAAGTCTTCTGTTGCAGGAGCCTTCAAGGCACTTCTGCAGGACTCGGTGACCCAGAGCTGTTCTGTGCCATCTCTCCTGCAGGAAGCCGTGGAACCAGAGAGAGGCACGGAGCAGAGACCTCCCAGCATTCCCCAGGTGTCCTGGGTGAAGGAGAAGGAGGAGGAAGGCCCTGGAGTTGCCCCAGCACAACATCCTGAGGAGGTGGAGCAGTCTCAGCCCCTGCAGGAAGGTGAGTGGCACAGCTGGGCCACAGGGCTGGTGGCTGCAGCCAGATGGGGCTCATCCCATTCCAAACCATGTGGACATGGCCAGGGAAAGGGGAGGGGGAAGAGGGCCAAGGACTGATACGTCGGCAGCTCCATGCTCAGGGCATCCTGGGACTGGCCCTGCCTGTGGAGCACAGGGCTGGGCTGTGTTCTCTGGCCTCTCCTGCAGCCCCTCAGCTCTGATCACTCTCGCTCTTTGCCAGATCCAGGCCAGGACAGCGGTGCAGACACCGACAGCAGGCCCGCTCAGAGCGTGAATGATGCTCCTCCTCAGGGTGTTTCTGAGGAGAACGGTGTCTCTGATCCAAAGCAAGTAAGCATCCTGTGGCCAGGGCTCAAGCCCCCAGAGATTGTCTGGTTCCTCTAGCCAGTTCTCCTGGACCCTCTCAACCTCTGAGGCCCACACAGTGTGGTGGGAAAGGAAGCACTTCTCGGTGGACAGTGGGCAAACTGCTCCCTCTGGCCACTCTCCCATGTGCCCCCTCCAGGCCAGAGAATGGGACTTGTGAACTGGAGCTTTTCCAAGGCATCTCAGTTCCTGTGGCAGGTGCCCTTGAGGCCCGACTATGAGACTTGATGGGTCGGAAAGTTCCCAAGTCTTCTGTTGCAGTAGCCTTCAAGACACATCTGCAGGACTTGGTGACCCAGAGCTTTTCTGTACCATCTCTCCTGCAGGAAGCCATGGAACCAGAGAGCGGCATGGAGCAGAGACTTCCCAGCATTCCTCAGGTGTCCTGGGTGAAGGAGGAGGAGGAGGAGGAGGAAGGCCCTGGATTTTCCCCAGCACAGCAGCCTGCAGAGGTGGAGCAATCCCAGCCCCTGCAGGAGGGTGAGTGGCACAGCTGGGCCACAGGGCTGGTGGCTGCTGTCGGCTTGGCCTCTTCCCATCCCACCCCCTGAGGAGGGGGAATAAGGGCCCGGGGCTGATCCCCTGGCAGCTTCATGCCTTGGGCATCCCGGGGCTGGCCCTGCCTGTGGAGCACAGGGCTGGGCTGTGTTCTCTGGCCTCTCCTGCAGCCCCTCAGCTCTGACAACTCTCGCTCTTTGCCAGATCCAGGCCAGGACAGCGGTGCAGACACGGATAGCAGGCCCGCTCAGAGCGTGAATGATACTCCTCCTCGGGATGTTTCTGAGGAGAACGGTGTTTCTGATCCAAAGCAAGTAAGCATCCTGTGGCCAGGGCTCAAGCCCCCAAGGATGGTGTGGCCCCTCTAGCCAGCTCTCCTGGACCCTCTCAGCCTTTGAGGCCAGCACAGTGTGGTGGGAAGGGAAGCACTTCTCGGTGGACAGTGGGCAAACTGCTCCCTCTGGCCACTCTCCCACGTGCCCCCTCCAGGCCAGAGAATGGGACTTGTGAACTGGAGTTTTTCCAAGGCATCTCAGTCCCTATGGCAGGTGCCCTCGAGGCCAGACTATGAGACTTGATGGGCCAGAGAGTTCCCAAGTCTTCTGTTGCAGGAGCCTTCAGGGCACTTCTGCAGGACTTGGTGACCCAGAGCTGTTCTGTGCCATCTCTCCTGCAGGAAGCCATGGAACCAGAGAGAGGCACGGAGCAGAGACCTCCCAGCATTCCCCAGGTGTCCTGGGTGAAGGAGAAGGAGGAGGAAGGCCCTGGAGTTGCCCCAGCACAACATCCTGAGGAGGTGGAGCAGTCTCAGCCCCTGCAGGAAGGTGAGTGGCACAGCTGGGCCACAGGGCTGGTGGCTGCAGCCAGATGGACCTCTTCCCATCCCATTCCGTGTGGACATGGCCAGGGAAAGGGAGGGGGAAGAGGTCCCGGGGCTGATCCCCCGGCAGCTCCATGCACTGGGCATCCCAGGGCTGGCCCTGCCTGTGGAGCACAGGGCTAGGCTGTGTTCTCTGGTCTCTCCTGCAGCCCCTCAGCTCTGACCACTCTCACTCTTTTCCAGATCCAGGCTGGGACAGAGGTGCAGACACAGACAGCAGGCCCGCTCAGAGTGTGAATGATGCTCCTCCTCAGGGTGTTTCTGAGGAGAACGGTGTCTCTGATCCAAAGCAAGTAAGCATCCTGTGGCCAGGGCTCAAGCCCCGGGCGGTTTGTGGCCCCTCTAGCCAGTTCTCCTGGACCCTCTCAACCTCTGAGGCCCACACAGTGGTGGGAAGGGAAGCACTTGTCAAGGAAGCTGGACAAGTTGGCAACTCTTCCCCCATGCCTCCTCCAGGTTCCAACCTTCATCAGGAATGTGCACCAGAGACTGACAG